AAAACTATAATATTGAATCAAAAATTATTTGTGGCTCTAAGAACTGGGAAATTTTGTAAATTCCGTTTTAATAGGTTGCCGACCCCTGTCCTAGGTAGTTTAACCGACACACACAAAAATTAAGAATAGATAGGTAGGTACATTTAATTTCAGTTACAGTGATCAAGGATGCCTGCGTATTTTTTGCTTTCCTGTTCAAATGTAATTAAATCTTCCTTAAGGAATGTTAAGTAGGTCACGATTCATGAAAGGAAGAATGTTTATCTTGCGTCATTCAACATCCTGTGTGCCACATAAATGCCTTATAAGTATCTAGAATTCTGTATGCAACAATTACAAATCGAGATAGTGGGTTCATTACAGATTCCTGTATAATAATTAACAAAGGAAAAAAACTGACATTATTATTTATCTTTCTCGATGGTAGAGACATCTACGTCTTGTAATTTAAACTATTGAAAACAGTCACATATCCTGCCATTTAACCGGCGCTTCTGATAGTTATAAATTCAATGCTATCACCATAGAAGATTGCGACGACTAAAATAAAATCTTAAAATTGATCATAGACTAATTGATTAATCAATTTGATTAATTAATTAAATGATTAATGAATTATTTGGATAAAACATACGCCACTGGTTATTAAAAATTTCTGAATTTCTGCGTAAGGGCTAACTTTAGTGAAAATACTGCTAACTACATTTTTTGTAGGAAATTTTCGTTTCTTTAATTTTGCTCACCGCATATTTTCTCGTAAAATGCGCAGTTTTGGAGATATCGGCGGAAAACCGCTTTTGACAGCCATCTTGGCAAGATGGCGGCCCTGGCGGCATGTGCATTTTATGAATTTTAGTTCTACGTACTCAAGCATACAAAATTTCTGTCCTTCCCGAGTTATTTCCAGGTAAAAATCCTCAATGACTGGCCTATTAGCAGAACCTCTAAAAATCGAAATAATTTCCAAACGGTACCTATGTTTTGCTGGCAAAGTTTTTACGGCACAAACGAAGCACTAACCAACCCACCTAGTTTCGACATTTGTGCCTTCAATGTTCTGCTAACTTCACGGACCCATAGTTCTCTTGGCTTTTCCCGAAAACTAACGGTTATAGGGAAAAGTTTGAAATAATACCTTTAACAATGTACTGGGGGCGTTTACACTCCCCCTTTCCCCAACCACCACGTTCGATTCGCCGTACTGACGGAATAACCATACCACTTTACAATTAAACATACCGTTCCATTCCGTCCATATTACCAACTCGGTACCGGGTTTGAATGTGTGGGCCGGAATCTCCAACTTTACCTCCTCCATATAGTCTATGAGCACCGTGCCCGTTATTGAGTGAATACGCCGATTAGCCCGTTTTAAGGCCGCCGTCAGGCCTTCGAATTCTCCCTCTTTATCAGTATGCCATCCATAAAATAAATTCGGCACATTGCCGTAACTCTTCAATATTATCGACTCCTGACAGTTACTTACTCCGAAACAATTCTTTACACATCTTAAAAAACACAACTCAATTCGATGCTTTCAGATTGCCGCATTTTCTATACTCACTTTATAAACCTATCAGTATCAGTTAGAGATGATGGTAAGGATACGATGAAAGGTAGAAAGCTTTGACCACCACCGCTGGTGGTAACGGTGAGAGTATACATCGCCTTTGCTCCAACATTCATTACATAGTACCTCTTGGGGAAGGTGTATGTGTATAAATAAAGTGTCGCAGCTAAAAAGTATTAATATCAAAACTTGCAGCTTTAATACCTAAGGGATCTCACTAGTTTGGTGAGCGTTATTTTTAAGACAACATATACATATTATATCCTTATCCTTGTTATCTTCAAAGTCTTCGCAAGTCCAATCAAATGATAGACCACTATGTTCATACCCAGGTGGATTATCGAAATTGATCGACATATCGGCTCTAACTCGTTGCTTCTGTTCTAGTCTCCTAAAGTCTTTGTAGTACATTAGGTCAATAATTGCACGTGGTGGGCACGAAACAATGGTAACCAAACACTGCAAAGGAATAAAATCACACTCGATACACACTCGATGGGAATTTACATAAGCGTATCTGTCTTGGTTGGTACTTAGCTGCTTAACTTCAAGCTTAACGTGATACGTCCCGACGTCTATCTCGAATGGATTGATAATAACAAGCGACCTATTCCAAAACTGGGGAAGTGCCCGTACTCGCCTCTTTCTGGGCACTAAAATCGCATAATCAACAACCAACAACCCCGAAGGCCACACTTACTATTTTTATCCGCATTAATTAGAGTCCAGTTGAATACGTAATCGGCTGGATCACAGGCCGCTTCTAGAGTTCCCTGTACGACGTATTTATTACGCCGGTGCCACTTCCAATTGGGATCGTCGCTAGGGGAACGCACGTCCTGGCTATACGAGAAATTGAGCAAATCATAAAAGGCAAATCGAGCGAATTTACCATCTTTTAATCGCTAGCTCCCCTTCGCACCTCTTCGGCGGCGCAATTGTGGAAGTGGTCGCTATCGAGGGGAACGTTGGCAAGAGGTCTGAAAATCTTACATTCAAACATATTGTACGAAAAAATATTTAGTTACCGTCATCGTCGCCGGGTAGCAGTTCTGCAATGCCGATAAGTAGAAGAATGAAGATAAAGATACGATTATCCATCATGAAATTGATGTTTATTTTTGTAGTCAATTATTTATCCAGAGCCTTCTATCTAAAAACTTGCGAATGTGACTGGTATGCCACTGTAGGGCATTACAAAAATCGTTTGCCGATGGACAGTGTTGATATAGGTGGTTGAGAATAATTTGCTTCTTACAGGCGATCCACGCGTTTGGTGGATTGAACACTTACACGAGTACTACTTCGAGATGGAGAATGCGGGGGAACAAATCCATGGTAACGCCGTTGTCTAGGACACCTGATCCCAAATACCCACTTCCGACGTCCCGTTCACCCGCAATTCGCGTTTGAAGATTTGACTCCACCATCGGGGGGATCGTTACGGGGGCTACCACATTCCCTTTGTTGGTACCCACTTCCGACTTCTCGTTGCTCGAGCTTCTATTGGCGACACGAGAATGAGAGACAGCGATTCGAGATTTACGCGTGACAAAATTCGCAACGGAAGGTAAAAGGTGCCCGAAGTTGACTACCTCTCGAAGACGCGCGCGCGCACCATGCAAAAGGTCGTTAATTTCGCCCCTAGGACAAAAAACAAAATTCCTCCACGCAGGAGTTGTGGGCCTTTACAACATCTTTCCGACGACACCAATTTGAAAAGAATCGGACCAAAACTGTAGTAGATGATAGGAAGATGGGTAAACTTCACTCGAGGATGACGCCAACCCCACATCATGTAGCCCTATCCTCAAGGTTGACAAATTACCTTGTAGATGCACGTACACCCGTTGCCTTTCTACAAGAGTTCTTCTACGCGCCCACATTTGCTGCCAGCCAGCCAGCCAGCCAAAGTGAGATTAAAAGCTACTTTTTACAAATAAACTTGCAAAAATGCGCTAAAAAGTAGGTAATCGTAAATAATTTGTAAAAAGCGCATTTCCACATTAACAGTCTTTAAATTAAACACTGCCGTTTGAACTGCAGTGAACCTTATCAAAAACAGTCGTGAGAGGTGTCTCCGGATGCGCTAATTTTTCCCAGATAATGGCAGGACGAGTGACTAATTAAAAACCGAACCTGGTTCGCTTTCGTAGTGAATGCAGCGAAGAATTGGATTTTCCGTCCACCACTTCCCCAACGATTTCTTTATGAGGTGAACGCTTGATGGTGTGGGGATCTTTTGCCATTTTTGATTCTTGCGCGAGATTTTCTCTTGGTGGCGCCCAAGTTCGTCCGTCCGTCCAGCCGTTTCTAGTCGCCGTTCCGCCGACTACCGCTGTGTTTATTAATTTCTATATTGTGATGGAACCGTCGAATTAGCCCGCTAAAATTCGATTTAAATATTCCCGAATCCGAGCCTGGCGCGACGAAAAAGGTCAAGATTGCGATTTGTTTCGTTTCCGTGGAACACGTGTTTTTTTCTTCTCTGCTCTACATTGAAATGAGCCATAATTTACAATAAAAGTGTCAAATATTACCTACGTTATGCCAGCTATGCGAGGAAACTTAATGGCGTATCGACCCGTCTCGGAGCACGTTCATTTTGGCCAGGATTTGTTTAAAAAAAAGGGGGAGAATGCGGCAGAAGTATGTGTGCTTTTGTTGAGACCAGAAGTAAATCTTTACGTTGCGAATAGTGAGTGCAGCTTCGACAATTACAAAGGTGATGTACTCGTTTTATTTATCTCTACGTCTATTGCATCCCTGTAACAACGATATGACCGTGTTAAATTATTTGCCAATTTAACTTTATTCTCGTACAGCATTGATTATTGCCATTTATAACACATTCCAGATACAAATTGCAGTTTGCTGGTCCTACTGGGAATTACTGACCGATTTACGTGTTTTTATTTATATTTAGATACTGTTCCCTTAGGGGCGATACCCAATACAAGTATGCAGAACTACATTTTAATTTATTGCAGCACTTTTATGTTACTGTGTATTTACAGGGTGCCTCATCTGGGGGCGAGTGACGTACGTTAGGTGGTTGATTGTTAGATATTGCACTTGGCATTGTGAATTAATTACTTGATACCAATGTTTGCCACGACATGTTCCTTTGTATTGTTGTAATGTGATAGTACTAAAAGTTATGCTCCTACTATTTATTTGAACCGGGTGATTATGATTATTAATATTTGCCGGGGTGACTTGTTTCGAATATGTACTGTGCTATATTTGATACCGATAGTATATCTCGATTTGACGTAGCAGAGGCTGGCTAAAGTTCAGAACTGACATACGCAGAGATATATATTTTATGTACTGTTTTTTTTGTGTCTTCGAGGGGAGCCAACTTGCCAATATTGCTAATCAATTCGTTTAGTCAATCCCTGTCACGTAGTGACCGAATATTGGTTTTGTGTCAGTCTTTGTTATGCCAGTGCAAATATGTCAACTGTCAACGCCTACATAAATTGTGTATATTTTGTTTATAATTTGGTATGCGTGCGAGTTTGCCGTTGGTTACTCTGTTATTTATGTTATGTCATGATTTGTCTTTTGATCGGTTATTGTCAGTACTCATGGTAAAGAGCCTGGAGTTCGGTAATTTATAACCCGGCATTTTAAGATAGTGGGTTGGACTGGCCCTAGAGATGTATGAATGAAAGAGTTGGGGTCCCGCTAATCGTACATGGGGCTGCCGGCTAAGCCCGGCCTCACTTGCGCAGGGATTCGCTAAAAGCGTGTGGCGTGTTCTCGTTGTGACCTTATGGTTGTGTTAAACAACTATATCCTTCCTATGTGAAAGGCTCTTCTGAGAGGCCAACTCCTAGCGATTTCATACAATGTTGACATGTCATGACCAGAGCAACTAATGACTACTCGGTGTGGGATTTGGACTGGCCATCCAATATTCAAACCTATTATATGAATTTATTGTAATGTTTTAATGATTGTTTTTGTTATGTGTGTGTAATATTTATTCTTTAGGAATTCCAGTGGAGCCTGGGATTCGACATTGTATTGCTGTACTTGACAACATGCATTCATGCCATTACAGATAACTAATTTTGCTATCAAGTTCAATATTAATTTGTTGACTAGGTTTTTTCTTGGTCCGTTCTTTTTTTCCCAGCCTATTTTTATATTTGTACTCGGTGAACTACCATTTTCTAAATTTAATCTTGCAATGCAAATTATTTGGATTAAATCTCCGTTTTTAAAGCATGTACTTGTTTTATTTGTATTCCTTACTTGATCCTCACTCCGACAAGCAACACATTATCTTGTAGCGCAGAACATCCCACCTGTTTTTTTCCTGTGTCCGTTCCTATGGGAACTTCAGTGTTTTACTAACTCAGAAACTTTTGCGGACATACGTCAAACTACTCCCAAACTTTCATCGCACTCGGATAATAATAATAATCGTTAATGTGCATATACAGGGTGGCGACTTGCGTAACGCATCATAGGGATTTCAATGTAAAATTCATAATATGCGATTATTGGCTCCCCAAATTATTTTAGAGCAAAAATGTATTAAGGTTTTTTGTAGAAAAAAAATTTTTACGTCAATCAACCGTATTAGTTTTCAATTTTTTTCATATACACGGAAAATTGGAAAAATAAAACCTCCATTGTTGCTTAAAATATCATTACAATAACAAACACAAATATGCAAAAATTAACTCTTTTTGCTATTAGAATTATTACCAAATGCATATAGCACATGAAAACTGTGTGGTGGGCGGTGCTTACTGAAGGCTGAAGTACGTCACAATTGGCAACGCATTTCTATTGGTCGTAAACCTAATGAAAATCTGTATCGAAATGACTGTAGCAAATGTTTAATTTAATCAGTTAAAGTATAGGGGTAGAAAAAAAATGTTTAAATCAGGTTCGTTTGTTTTAAACATGTTATGAAAAGAAAAGGGTAAAGTGGGGGTGCGGGTTGTCAACAACTCGCTAAAAAAAACTTCATAATATTCTATTAACGAATCGTAAACATTGTGAATAAAAAACACTAAAACTAACCATTGAGGAACCCTTCAAAGTTAAACAAATTATTTGCAGTCTCTGACCACGCGGCATGAGCGGACCCATCGATTTCGCCGGCGTGCCTATTCGTCGACAGCAACGTATGGCTTTGTCCGCCTATTGCGACGCCGCATTCGATGCACTTCCCCGTCTGCATTGCGCCTCCGCACTCGCCGATGGCGTAATAGTGGCCGTTCGGACACTTAAACCAGTGCCCCTTGGCCATTTTCATCGCCTGAATCACTTGCTGTCGTTCGATCTGCGAAACGTACGTTCCCAGCTCCTTGCTCAGATAGGCGATATTTTTCCCTATCTCCTCGTCGGCGGCATCCTGGAAAGGGGAAATGGAGGCGAGTTTGTAGTAGATCGTTTCGTATAGCTTCTTATTGTAGGAGTTTCCATAAATTTTCGCTTTGAAGACCTCGTCACTTTCGGATATCTTGAGCAGTTGCACTTTGTGAGAGAATCGGTTAGTTTCCTTGCGTATGTCGGATATTTCTTGATTGGTCATCGTGTTCCCCTCGCGCGATAAGGAATTCAGCAAAAACTCCATGTCTTCTATGGCGACATGTATGACAGTTGCGGAACCGAGTTTAACAGCTATGAAGGATTTGATGATGTTTTCCAGTACTTGCATTTTCGATAGGTATATCCTACTAAGGCTGGAATTCAGGGTGATCTTGCGTCCTTTGTGTACTACTTGAACCGAATTTTTTAAATTCTTAACGATTTTCTGGAGTAGGAGCGCGGAAGCTATCGTAATTGAAAATGTCAGAAGATTATAAACGAAGCATTCCGAGGAGTCGCTCGCTTTGTTACGTTCACTTTGGGCAAACGCGACAAAATTGCCATAGATAAGCACACGGTAAGCTCAGGAAGTAGAGGTCGGTCCAGGCGAATATGTGGGGTTCTTATATACAAGCACACATAAGCAACAACAAAAGTTATATGTTTACTGTGTACATTTGACGTATCTCATGCAATGGCTCACATTGTCAGAGATAATAAAATAAATATTGAATATTGAAAATCAAACATTAAAAGGGAAAAACGACAAAAATAACTAAATTTACCTTTGAACTTCCGGTCGCAACCGAAACAAAATAAGTGGGGGAATGATTCGCGTGGCACAATTATCGCATAAGCAATGTATAACGCCTGACACGAGGGGTTATTCTTATACGTAGAACTGCAATCAATACTCAAAAGAATCAAAAATTCCAATGACTTTACAACAACAAAAAATTTAATTTGACTAAGGGTCGGTCCTTACAATCAGTATGAGATATTTAAAAAAAATGAGATTAAGTTTTAAGAAAAATACCATAAAATACACAAATAACTAAATCGCTATTTAATAGCAAAGCAATCTCATCAATTCAAATGCAAACCAACTCACACGAGCAAGTTCTTCGGAGCAAAATACATAACGTTAACTAAAATTGGTAGAAATTTACTTCGGACAAAGTCTCGTTAATTTTAAGAACTAAATCACAGGCAAAGGTAGTTAATGTGAAAGATAAAATACAGTAAATGAACAAGAATGAATATCGGAGTAATAAAAATATGGTGGCGACAATCATCATAATTGGGTCACCAGTCGAATTCAGTGGTTTAATTTCGCTTGAAATGGCGGGTAATTCTGCAATCGGTAAAGTAAAAATATCTATGGTGGTTTTGACTTGTAATGGCGCAATATTGCGAAAATCCAGCGTTTCCACTTAGAAACATCGATATTGATAGCACAATCGGGTAGATAACAGGGAAGCAATGAGTAAATCAAAAGTAAGAAGTAAGGAGGAGCCAAAAAACGGTTATTCAAAGTAACAAGATAATGGGGGTTTACAGTACAGTTGAATTCCGCAGTTCTAATTTAATAAGCGTGTACCTGAAACCATAAAACATTTTTTTGGACAGTAAAAGTTTATTTAAAAATAGAGACTGATTAGCCAAAAAGTAATGAACATGTGCGGTTTTAAAGGTTTATTCAAAACGATATGATTGTGGCGGGCTCTGTGACGTAATAAGCCCGACCAATCAGCTCCTAGAACCATTCAGATGACATAACGACTTGGCAATATTGCAGGAGAATGGCATTTATAGCTGAATTTATAGTTCCGTACCCGCAACGCCGTACCGTAACGTTTGAAATTAAACCATACTTGTTGCGTGTGAACATTTATAGTTCGCGTTAACGTTGCGTTAGAACGGTTACGGTACGTAGGAAATACCCACATTTTATTTCTTACGGTAAATCGTGCTAACGCGCTTGTCTTCGGTTGTACTCGGATAATTCAAACAGTTGAGTTTATCCTGACATTCGTTTCGTTTATTTACAATAATTATTGACACTTTGTTGGTTATTATTATTTTGAAATGCACGTTACTCTTACTGACAGATGACATAAGTTCGTGGCGCAAGCTCATCTCTTACCACTACGGTAACTATAAATCGTATAATTTTCGTTAACGTAAGATTTTACGGTTCCGTTTTTACGTTCTTACGGCTACGGAACTATAAATCCGGCTTATAACTTGCGTCATCTGTCACAGGCACTTGTCACTTTCGTGCTAGATCCCTCTCAAAACGTCAAATGTGACAAACGTCAGACCCTCGCGTAAGGTTGCCAGCTCACGTCTACGTGATTGCTTGTAGGTTTGTGACGTATTTAGTCTGAAGCGTTTCAAATTCGTACTAAAAACACAGCTTTTCAATAATTTATTTTGGGTTTATTTTACTCGCAAATAAAAATTGAGGACACACGGGTCTTTTTATTTTTAATGTACTTTGTGGATCAGAAATAAAAAATGAAGGCGGGATGACCCCATTCGTAATTGATAACATGCCGTAAACGGCCTTAAATTTGATAAATCCGCAAAAATGCGTCAGCAAAGCTTGAAAGTAAAATGACAAGGGAGAAAGTTCACTTAACACAGCGCCAGTATATCCCAAAAATGGCAGACAAAAAATGTCAAGAAACTTAAAAGGCGTGTATCTGGACTGCGCGCGCCGACAGGAATGAGGGAAAAACGCACGACATCGAACATCATAAAAGAAAGCTATAACACTAAGATAAAGAACGATAGGCAAGAAGAAATATACTACGGGAACAGAATACACTACAGAAATTATTCACAATTAACAAATGAGTTACGAGATAATCGCCCAGATGGCGTAAGGATTGCTATATAAAGGTAAGAACGTTCTCCTTCTAGAAGTATTTGAATTATTTCACATAAAACAAAGCGAGCGACTCCTCAAACAATTCAGTGCACTTACCGGGCATTTCATTTGTCAGTTTTTCTAAATCACTCATTTTTCCGAGTAACTCGGCGCGTTTCTCCTCATTTTCCTTGACGTTTCCAAAAAATTTCAGCTTCACAGCGTATACGTCCTGCAGGGTTTGCTTTATGAAGCTGCTGTAACGCTGCGTGGATGTCAGTGGGGTTTTGCACTTCGGGCAGCACTTGTACTTTATGGCGTTACCATCGTCCACCGTCATCCACTGATCCATTCCGGTACTTTCTACGATGTGGCCACACTCGTCGAGCAGAACGAATCTTGCGCCCTCCTCGTCTTCGGTGCCGAAAAACGTCTCGGTTAGATCGTCGTAGTGGCAAACCCGGCACAGTGGGGGACAAGGATCCCCGCAGAAACCGACGCAGTCGTGTCCACATTTCAATTTTTTCTTGCACGGATTTGTACAGGGTGCCACGGAACATATGTCACCGCATCTGTTTGCACAGTCTGAGTGTATGCAGCGTCGTTCGCAACTTTCGGCGCATTTAGTGCAGGGTTCGCCGCACTGCTTGCCACAAATGCTGTGCGCGCACTTGTAAGTGCACCTAAGGTTGCACGGTTGGCATGCTTCACGACATGGAAACGGACATTCGTGTCCGCAAACTAAAATACGTCCGCACTTCTGATTGCAAGTGGCATGGATACGGCCCTGCGCACAAGAGCCGCAAGTTCCAGAGCATGTATGACCACATTCCAAAACCGCATTACATGGACTATCACAGAATCGAAGCAGCTTATACGAGTTTCCGGGAAGAACTACAAACAGTGATTTTAACAGCAGTTTTGTATCGTGTATGTTAGACTCGAATTTGACACTAAACTTTACCTTTAGTTCTCAGATGACATGCGATTTTAAACTTGTGACCACAGTCCGCAATCTTATCGTGTTCGACCAAGTGCCCGCACAGTTTAGTGCACGGTTCATTGCATTTGGCCTGGCAAACGTGACCACAGTTTAAAGTAAGCGGACACTGTCCGGTACAGCGATCTCTGCTAGGTGTTTCGCTGCATTTCACCTTCACTTCATGATGGCACACGCTCAATTCTTTCGCGACCTAAAAAAGAAATTCTAAAACAAAATCGTTCCAAGGCACGCTGTAAAGAAATTCAAAAAGATTTTTCCTGTGTGGTGGGTACATATGGTAGCGGATACGCATCGCACAACAATTATCAGCAAAATCAACACGGCGCTGTGGGGAAAATCATCCGCACCGTCAAACAGTGCTTTATAAGGCAGCAAATTCTTTCTGTCGCGAGCCGTCCTATAGTCAGCAGTAGGTCAAGGCGAGCTGTCCTATGGTGAGGCAAATTTCGACGACGAGACGATCTTACAAAGATACAGTATTAAATTAATTGAAATAATTCTCGTAGTAATAGAAAAACACCTCTTCGTCCATTATATTCTCCTGGTAGCCAGAAAAATTGTACAAGAGTTTGCCTCTGTTTTGATCAGCTGATTCGGAGATTAAAACTATACACTATAGTGTCGATCGGATCGAGTGGCGATCTTGGAAACCAAAGAAGATACGACGATTTGCGTTATTATCATGCTTTAAAGAAATAGGCCAGTCAAATTAGGAAAAATAGCGGAAATAATTGAAAGAAAGCTGAAAATTGGTATAGAGGGTATTAGGGCTTGTATTCGAACATAATAAAAGTCGGGACCAAAACTCCAATGGCTCGAGCCGCCATCTTGGAAAAAAGGTGCTCCAAATCACTTTTTTGCTGATATCTCGGTTACCGTGCATTCTAGCAAGTAAAGTTTTATATGAAAAAAGAAAGATAATAAAATTTTGTATAAAGTAGTATATTAAAGTACAAGTGTCATTTGACGAAGATTGTCGCCGAGTGCGACAAGTAGACAAATGACACGTGTGCTTTATACTATTTTTTCTATTTCGACTTTATTTTAAATAATAAATTATACAAATTATTTAGGCGTTGTTAGGTAATTTTAAACTATCATTCAGTGTATGTTGGTAATAGACACAGTTCATTTATTTTCACGTTGGCTAACCTGATTCCTGTATTTTCAAACTTCTAACTTTTAATTATTTGGTCATAATTCCATTTTGCGGCAGTTATGATAAATACGGATAACAAACACGTTTCTTGTACCCCACCAGAGATCCAAGAGATTGCCAATGAAGCGACGTTAAATTTACTGCCTGTAAAATCGAAAGTAAAGTACGAGGAGTACAACATTTTTGAAAACTTGCTGGCCGAGAAGGGAGTTCAAAAAGTAAGCAAGAATGTACTGCTGGCATATTTTACTACGCTAAGTAAAAATAAAAAAAGTTCTACCCTTTGGAGTATATATTCAAAATTAATCGGAATTAATACAATCGGTCAAGTTCCTCGTACTTTATTTACACTTTACAGGTTATGTTTAGTTTTGATTTGACGGATACCGTTGACAGCAAAAAAGCGAGGGGTACCAATCCAACAAAATAAAAAAAT